GCGGAAGCCTCGGGCAGTGGACACCCCTGCGCCCCGCTCTGAATTCCAGCGCACCCCCTGCGGCAGAAGAGCCCCCTTCTGTTGGCACCGGCAAAAAATCCCTTCTGTGCCTGACCCTTTACAGACCCACACTCCCCATTTCCCAGACCGTCCGCCTGAAGGGGAGTCGTCCCTCACCCCGTCCAGTGAAGCCCGCTGGAGTCATACCCGCGGCCTCCTCTTTCTAACAATAAGGACAGGGAAAGTGAGAGTGAGCCCCGGGCATTAGGGTGCCAAGGTTCTGGGCGGGAGGGAACCTCCATCCTAACTTGCCCCCCACCCCCAACCCGGCTGGGGCCGGAGGAAGCCCAGGGGACTTAACCTCCTTTGTGAGAAGTCCGCCGAGACCCCGAGGCGGCGCCCCGTGTTAACCCTTCCGTGTCCACCCCCGGGGCCACAGCGGGGCGGGGAGACGGGCGCCCCCTGGGCAGGCGCCCTGGAGGGAGCAGGGGCAGCAGCCCAGTCTGGGGTCTGCACCTGCCTTTGCGCTCCTGCCCGCGGGACCTGGGCGGGGGATGCCGACCCCAGGAAAGCCCACACCGCCTCCCCAAAACTGATCGTCCGCCTACAGGGGTGACACACACCGACGGCGGAACAGGACAGACGCCCCGAGACCCCGCGCCGCGGGCGCCATGGAGGTGACGGGAGCCGGGAGCAAACCCGGGCAGGCGCGCTCGTCAGTCAGTGGACGGGGACACCGCGGGGCACGCGCAGGAGTGACCCCGAGCCCCTGGTTCCTCCAGGCCCCACAATGAACTTCCAAAGGCCCCCCAGTTTTCACATCTTGTCCTCCCCAGTGAGCCACTTTCCCCTCACTGGGCTCACCTTGTCCTTTCCCCGCCCACAGGCTCCCAGATCCGAGGGCAGATGGAGCCTCCCCGCTGGGTCCTGAGAAACGGGGCTCAGAGTGGCCGGTACTGCTCCCCGAGTCCCAGGGACCCGGCGCGGCGCAGAGCGCGAGGCTGGACCCCGCAGCGCGGTGGGAAGCGCGAGCGGGGTAGCGCGCCTGCGCGGGTGGGCGGGGCGAGCTCCCGGCGGCCACGCCCACGGCCACGCCCACCAGGCCCACGCCATTCACCTCTCCGGAAAAACTGTTAACCTAGAATCTCTGCAAGCCGTTCCAAAGGCAAAGGGTTTGCATTCAAAAGCACGCTCAGGATCATCTGGCAGTGGCCCCAGATACCTCACGAAGTAGTTCCTCACCACTCCCATGGTATTTCCCCCCCCACTCCGCTCTGGGCATTCCCAACCTCACACCGGGGGGCGCCCTGCCTTGCTCTCCATTTGGTGCCTAAGGGCCCTTCTGTCCCCTCCACCCTGCGTCATTCCTCTGCCAGACCTGGGGGCGTTTCTTTTCACCCAGTTTTCTCCTTCAAAACAGCCTCAGCTGCTCTTTCCTCCTGTTAGTATCTGAGCCCGTCTTCCCCTTTCCTTTTCCTAATAAATGTGTCCTTTGGAATTAGGACCTAAGGGGCTTCCCTGGAGCCCCAGGGGTTGTCTCAGAGCTTTCACTGCCAGGGCCTGAGTTCAAGGGGACCCCCACAGGGCGCAGCAGACCCTACCTGTCTCCTCACTTCCCCCTTTGTTACAGGACAGGGAGAGAGGGGCACCCCTGAAGCCCCCAACCTGCCTGCTCTAAGTAGGTTCTGCCATCCGCCGCGTCAAGACAAACACATACAACTTTAATGCAAAGGGACTTTAATACAGTGAATATACAATACGGAACACAAAGAATATAACCTCTAAATCAAACACCTGAAGTGACCCATCCCTTCGTGGGCAAAAGTCCACCCAAAAGGGACTGGCCCAGAGCAAGGCCTGAAAGCTGCCACTAGACTAAAGCACCTTCTGGTGGGACCCATGGAAAAGGGTCAGCAATGGCCAGACGAATCTGGGAGGAAAAGAGCAACATCAAAATCAAGATAAACGCTGCCACAGTCACTTCCCCACAGGCCTCTCACCCACATCTGCCTTAGCCAGTCCAGGGCCAGAAACAAGCCCGGTTTCCTCATCACATGCTCGCTGCTCCCTGTGGCTTCCTCGGCTCCTTCTGGCTCTCCATCCTGCTTCCTTCCTCCTCTCCTCAGATTCCTTCTCTTCTCTCCTTTTTCTCTGCTCAGCTCCACCCTACTTCTGGGTGGGGCAGGGAACCTGGAACCTCCCCTTCTCCTGGGGACCCCTGTTATACCCTCAACAGTGTATTCAGTGGATCCCCTGTTTCTGCCCCCCATTGTGTCTCTGGTGATCCTCTTGAAGTCTTTACTTGGGATATGGGTCAGAAAGTGGGGTCTTTGGGTTTACCCTAGGAAAAGTTTCAGCCGAGCCCTCATTTCAGGGCACTGGCGAGCTTCCTCACAACACAGAGATATTTATTACATCCAGAGAGGGTTTATCATGAAAAGTCAGAGAAGGAAACACTCTTGCACAGACACAAGTGGATAGAAAGCTGTGCGAAAAGGGGAAGATTTGCTAGGAGACGGACATGCGGTGGCGGGTTCACAGCCCTGGAACAAGAGCTGTTCCTGCTGAGGGAGGTCAGTGCAGGCAAGCTCCAGCCTGGTCACCATGTCGCTTTTTTGCAGTCTTTGGGTTGGGAGAGCGGGGTCCTTGGGTTCACTTTGCAAAAGGTTTTACCAGAGCTCCATTTTCACCAGCACTGGTAAGTTTCCCAGGTGAGTTTTTCCACGAACCAGAGTTGTTTCTATTTAAAGAGTAGGTTTATTAGGGAAAAGTGAAAGGTTCAACACAGTAGGGAGGATCTGGAGAGATAGTGAGGCCAGTAAAATCAAAAGTACATGTATTTCTGCGCTCCGGGGTGCGTTTCACTGACCCCAGAGAGAGGTGAGGCTAGAGAAGTCGCGCTGAGGGAAGGGCAGGCCGGGTCTTTATAGGCCTAGGAAGGGGGAGAATTGGCTGGGTGGGGAAAATTATTTTTTAAAATTTATTTATTTATGCGTGTACAAAACTGGGGTACAGGCCAGAGGTTCAGGGGCAGTGAGAGGATTCACCAGAGACAGAGTGGGGAGCAGAACTGACTGAAACACACTGCTGAGGGGAGCAGCGGGGAGAGAGGAGAGGTCTGCTGTGCCCTGTGGGTCTCTCCTTGGCTGGGGATCAAATTCATGGTAAAGTGGCTGAGGCCAGCTTTAACCCCTTGTGCCACCAGGGAAGGCCGGGTGGAAAACGTTGACAAGGAACTGGAACTGAACTTATTTTTCTGCCTGGGCAGGGCTTGCATTAGCCGGTGGTGACAAACAAGTTATGCGACTATCACTCCCGAGTATCTGCTTCTGCTTGGGGCGACTGCTCCTTCCCTGTGCCTGTGCTTGGCTGGTGCCTGGACTTTACGAAAAGCACAGAAGAGCCAAAGACTCTTGCATAGACAGAAGCGGGCAGGAAGAGCTGACCTGAGAGGCAGGTTTTTGGGTGTCTGTAGCCCTGTTTCCAGACCACCCTGTTTCGACGAACATTTACCCACCAGGGGAAGGGTAATGTGGGCGACTGATTTGCAAACTATATTCTTCATCTTTTTTTGGATTGTACAGTCCTTGTATTAAAGTTGTTGGGGGCCCCTAAAAGCATGCAGCATGGGGACAAGGAAAACCCCAAGTTCGTGGCTGGAAGACGGGTCACGGTTAAAAGACTGAGCAGCCTTCGTGGGGAGAATGGCCCTGTAGGGATCAGGGTGTTCTTTCTGGTATCAGCCAACTAGGGCTGGGAACAACTAGATTAGGAAAGAAACATTCAGCCTGTCCTGGCCATGAAGGCACAGAGCATGCCGAACACTCACAATAAGAACAAGAGTCATTGTTCTCTGGTTCTGCGCATCCTGGATCTTGCTTTGTAACTTTCTTCTTTCTGCTCATAAAAGCTGTGGGAATGAGGAGCAGAGTGAGCCCAGGCGCTCTCTCCATCCTCCTTTCTAAAGAAAGAGGCAGCCATGGTCCTTTTGACTCAGCTACGGGTGACCAAAATTCCTTCCATCACAGTGTTCCAGGGTAGGGAGAGAGGGGTACCACCGAACCCCCAAACCTGCCTGTTCTAAATAGGTTTTACCATCCGCCTCATCAAAACAAGTTCAGGGAAAGGAACTTTAATGCAATGAGTGTGCAATACAGAAAAGACAGAGAATATAGTTTCCAAATCGAACACCCAAAGTTACCCGCGCCCTCTGGGTAGATGTCCACCCAACAGGGACAGGCCCAAGCAAGGCCTGAAAGCCCGACACAAGCCTAAAGCACCTTCTGGCTGGGACCCATGGAAAGGGGTCAGCAATGGCCAGACGAGTCTGGGAGGAAAAGAGCAACATCAACATCAAGATAAACACTGCCACAGTCACCTCCCCACGGGTCTCACCCACGTCCATGTCACCCAGTCCAGGGCCAAGAAGCCAGAGCCGCTTCTCCACGTGTCTCTGCGCCATGCAGTCCCCTCACTTTACCTTCTGACTCTCCATTCTCTTACTTCCTCCTCAGTCTCCTCTCCAGCTTCTCCTCCCTGCTCAGCTCCACCCTCCCTTGGGTGGGGCAGGGAACCTGGACCCTCCTCTCTTCCTGGAGACCCCTGTTACAGTCCAACCTCAGACCCTTAGTTCTCCTCACTAAATCAGAGCAAACCACAGACCACAGGCAAAGCTAAGCCACACTTGTTTGGTGAATGAGGCTCTGTTAGGGTGTCATGGTTGCAGCCTGGAGGTGAGGCGAAGATCGAGGGCCACTGTGGGATCTCTGGTCCCTCTCCAATTCTACAGGTATTCGACAAACACAGACCACTCTCCAGAGGAATGAGCCCCTCCTAGGAAGGAGGCGATACCATGCAATTTACCGGGGGCAGCCTTCCTCTGCCTGCCTGTGCCGAGGCTCCGTCCACCCCCTCTCTCCCTCCGCGGGTCAGCAGCCTCCTGCCTGCCCGTGATCTGCGGCTTCCCTGCACTGACCGCCCTCAGCGGAGGCCGCTCTCCTCAGGGCTGCCCGCCTGTGACCTCGCAGCCCCAGCCACCCTGTGCCTTTCGTGGGGGCGCTTCCTGCCCGCTGGTGTCTGGGCAAGTGCCTTTTATTTCTTCCTTTTATAATAAATCTACCCTTTTGGATATAACTGTCTCTGTGCTGTGGAGAAACTCACCTGGGATCTCGCCAGTGCTGGTGAAAGGGGAGCTCTGGGGAAACCTTTCCCAGAGTGAACCCAAGGACTCCACATTCCAAGCCCAACATCTCCAAAAATGACCTCAATTGCATTAAAAAAATCTTTTACGGCTCTCCCTGGTTACCCAAGGGGTTAAAGTCTCAGCATGATGAGGCCATCAGCAGCCACTGCGGCCTGAGTTCGATCCCCGGCCAGGGAGTGACCCACAGGGCGCGGCAGACCTCCTGTCTCCCTGCTGCTCCCCTCAGCAGTGTGTCTCAATACATCTGCCTGTTCCGTTCCCCACTCTGTCTCGGTGAATCCTCTCACCCCCACACCTCTGGCCTGTACCCCCACACCTCTTGTCTGCATCAATGAATAAATCTTAAAAACAAAACAAAACAAAACTAAAAGGAGATGGATTCTGTGGCCACCAGGGTGGACTTACTCACCAGTTTGCATCCACTGCTCAACATCACTGCCGGTCCTACTATGCGCCCGAAAGGACCCAGCGAGTACAAAGTCCCCTGTGTGAGAGAAATTCATGGTTTGCCGGGAGAGACAGATGGTGTGCTGCTAAGGAAGCATTTATTCATTTGTTTACTTATTTAAAGACTTATTTATTTATGCACACAGAGCTGGGGTGCAGGCCTGAGGTGCAGAGGGTGAGAGGATTCACCAGAGAGAACGGGGAGCAGAACAGGCCGACTGATGAAGTCCACGGCTGAGGGGAGCAGCGGGGAGACGGGAAAGGTCTGCCGCGCCGTGTCGGTCACCCCCAGGGGCCTGGGATGGAACTCGCGCTGCGGTGGCTGTGGCCAGCTTCTTAATGCTGCACTTAAACCTGTTGCGCCACCAGAGAGGATCCTGGTCTCTATTTCACAGGGCCACATTCCAACAGACAGGAGTCAAGGGCCCTCCCTGGGGG